AAAAAAAAAAAAAAAAAAAAAAAAAAAAAAAAAAAAAAAAAAAAAGTACCATGGAGAATATGGTTGTGCAAGGGGAAAGAGAAAAATGTCTATCCCAAGGCCCCTTGACTAACCAAGGTTAAGTGTTTGTTATGAGGCCGTCAGAATTGGAGAAAGGAGAAATCGATCATGAGATTAGCTTGACACAGGTGAGACTTACAGTGATAATGCTATGGCTATATTGTGTCCCTCGGCTCCAGGAACCCAGCCGCACACTCTGTTCCCAAAACTTGGAACCCGCACAGGCTTCAGAAGCAAAGAGCGTGACGTCAGGGAACAACCGATGTGTTTCCCCCAGCGTGGCATTAATTGGGGCCAGGAAGTCCAGGTACCAGTGCACAGCTATTCCAGAGACATACTGAGCTGCCTTAGGGTCCATCAGCACCTAGGAGAGGAAGAAGAATGGGGCTTAAAGAGGGTAGGAATATAATGAGGAACAGAATGGGGAAAACATGAATGCATAGAATTGGGGGGGGGGGCGGCAAAGAAGAGTCAAAATGATAGAAACCTAGGAAGGTCTGGCAAGATCAAGATGACCAACCAGGAAAAAGGTGTTCTAAGTTTCTGGAACTCTAGGGATCAGAGAAGGGTGCCCCAAAATCAAGGGAATCAAGATATCTTGAGACAGGGGTCTTGGACTAAAAGGGACCTATATCATTTGGGTGGCTAAGGTCTTACCACCCGTGCCCAATGGGGCAGTAGAAGACGGTGGTCATCCAGTATTAGTAGTTTGATGTCATGGTGAGCACTTTGAGCAAGGGCAGGGCCCAGGTCAAAGGCAACAAAATCCCGCTGGAGTTCTGGAGTGAATCCCAGGCACTGGAAGGGATACCCACTTATCATTCCTGCTGAGGGTTCATTCTCTGCTGTCACTGCCCAGAATCTCAACTTATGTTCTGCATAAGCATCCAGGAACCTAAAGAGAGATGCAGAACAAGGAAGATAGGGATCCCTACACTGGGATTTGAGAGAGAGTTCATGATGCATTGAAAAGGCTCAAAAAGTTAAATCTAGGAGATCTAGAAACTGGTAAGGTAGGATAAGACTTCAAAGATTCAGAGATAGGAGAACCAGAGTGACAGGGCAAATAGCAAAGTATCCATGGGCTAACCTCTCCACTCCCCACCCTGCCCAATACTTACTTGATATAGTACTTGGCCCAGGTCTGGTAGTACTTGTCCCCTGGTTTTCCCTTGAGTGACCCTTTCCCATTCACTGCCCCATTGGTCTTAAGCCAAGTAGGTGATGTCCAGGGGCTGGCAAAGAGTGAGATAGGGCGTTGGGCCAAGGCCAGAGCTCTGTGAATGAGGGGAATCTGAAGGGATGGATAGATAGTGAGGAACAGAGGTGAAGAAATTGCCATAGTGACTGGCTTAACCAGTGTATCAGGCCCAGTCTTTGGTTCCCGCCCTCGTTCCTCCATAACTACCTAGAGGTGGCTGAGGGTGGGGACCATGTAATCTCCAATAACTTCCTCAGCCTAATGCTTCTTTACCCTCGAGGAAGCAAAGCCACTTTATGCCAATTACGCCCACCTTAAGCTTGGTGTCTTCCTCAGAGAGGCTGAAATTATTCAACTGGAAGTCTTCAGGGTAGTCGGCATAGGTATAGACACGGATAGAGAAGTCACAGCTGGCCATGGGCACTCTGATGATGTTATATTCAATGCCTGGGAAAGAGCAATGGCTCAGATAGCCAGGTTGAGGGAGAAGGAGACCTCCAGAACCTGAACTGTAGCACACGGAAGTGTAGTTTGGAAAACTGATGCATTTGGATAAAGGTCTGTGGAACCCAGGTCTACCTGGAAGAGGAGTAGGCCCAAGGACCCTCAAGAATTTATAGGATGAAGGGGAGAGGGTATGGAAATGTAGGGGACATTAAGAATGGAAGGAAGAATCCCTTGGATCAAAGGAAACAATCCCTTTCCCAAACTCTAAATATCTCACCTTCTGGAGAAAAGTAAGACTTAAGGAGTAAGTCCTGGGCAGGAGGTGACAGGGCTAGAATGTTGAGGGCAGCAGCATCAGTCACAGCCCCTCCAAAGCCTTTTATCTTCTGGAACTGTTGGTCTGGGCGAAGGGTTAGAAGCAACCCTGGAGAGTTGAGAGAAAAGGTACTTAATGAAAGGATCTCATCTTAGTCCGGAACACTAGGTAATTCAGCTGTGTCCCTGGGCCCAAACGCCTTGAGTTTCTTGGTTCCGTGAGAGGTGCTAGATCTACCTGAGCTGGAGGAAGAGTGATTACCTGTGCCTGTCCAGTTGCTCTGGATGGACCCACTGCTCAATTCTAATCTCCGGCCACTTCGGGTACTCTCATATCGGCTAAAGGTACCAGATTCAGGAAGTATTACAGGATCAAGTGAGTCACAGTAGGTGGCGTTGCAGACACAGACCACAGAGCTATAGCCAAAGCTTTGGGGAACACAAGGACGGGCACCTAGATTGATGCACAGGAGAATGGGAAATAGTCAAGGAAAACATGGGCAAGGGGGCAGAAGAGGAGTGGTTTCCTCTTGTCTGTGCCTTTCCTTCCACCCAAGTTCTTCCATAATTAAACATTTTCTGGCATCTACTAGGTACCCAGCACTGCACCAAGGAAGTACTAAAAAAGTTTCTGTTCTCAGTACCACCACCCCCTTTATGAGTTATGTGCTTTTCCACCTCCTTATTCTGGTCACTCACTTGATGTGCAGGAAATCATCTGAAGCAAAAGTAATGCCAAGATACATGCTGCAACGTTGCTTACTTTAACCAAATCCTTGGAATGTTCCTGAGATCAGAATAAGAATAACTTAGGACAGGATTGATTTTGGGGGTGACCACAGACCACCTCTTACCTTTGACCTAAGGTATTTTTACCATCCCTACCCCAAAGCGGAGCTTTTCCTATACATCCATCCTTTCCACTGACTGGCTTCTTACCCCAGCTTCCCGGTAAACCATCTAGGATGGGGACGAGGATGAGGGCTTGAGGATAAGGGATGGGGACGAGGATGAAGGTTAGGGCTCCAGGATGGCCAGGAGGCTGGACAGAGTACACACCCATCTCGTGTCCAGCAGGTACTTGGCTCCAGGCCTCTTCGCTCACCCCATTCCCTGTCTCTGCGCTGTATTCTTCATCGCTCTCACCCGGGATCAGGGTCCCCAGGTGTGCATGCAGGGTGGACACCTCCAGCTACCTCTCCCGGGGTTCCCAGTCCCCTACCCGAAGGTTGAGATCTCCAGCCGTGACGCCGCGAGCTGGGAAACGTGAAGGGCTGGGCTGGGCTGGGATCCTCACCTCTCTCCAGCGCTTCAGGGGTTCCATCTTCGGTGGGGGGCTCAGAGGACGGCGGGGCTCCCCAGCTCCGGGGACGGAGAGTGCGCGAGCTGCCAAAGAGCACCCGGCGTTCGGCTAGTGTCGGGACACTGCATCCTTGAAGCCTTAGGGCGGAAGTCATGTGACACTCTGTAGCTGCCACGTGACGGTCGCCGAAGCGCCCCCGGCCATCTTTGTGCGGGGCGCAGCTCTTGAAGGGATAGGGTTTGGGAGTCCTGAGCCGCTTCTGGACCGACCTCACCCAGCACCCGGACGGGAGTAGGGGGGTGGATGGGGTGGTAGGGCAGGTCATGCACTGTACGTCCAGTCTGGGATCGAAAAGGTCCCAAACCTCGCGGGGAACAGCGTCAAAAAACACGACCCTGAGTGGAGCGTGGCGTAGTCCGAGTCCTCAGGAGGTTCCCGGAGGCAGGACTTGATGGGGCTTCTCGGGCCTCTGGCCGCCACCTTTCGCCGCTTTTAGCCAAAAGCCCGCATTGGGCTGTTTAATGGGATCAGCTAAATGGGCTTGGGTTTACGGACAAATCTGCCTCCATCGCCCATTGTCAACTGCATTGTGCATTGCCCCTCATCAGAGGCTAAATCCGAGTTCCTTCCAACTGCGTGTTTTCTGCTGTTTGCGTTTATGTACTTTGTCTGCTTATTTTGCTTAAGAAGCTAGTTTATAGGACTTTAATTCAATAAACCTTTGTTAAGTGTCTGCAAATTCAGTGCTTGCGAGGCACGGAGACAGAGTTTCCACCCTCACGGCATTGATACACGGGGAGAAAGAACTTGGAACACAAGTTACATGGAAGAGATATATGGCAAGTGTAGCAGGATCCGCATAGTAACATTCTCCATTTTCTTAAGTCTAAGCAATCAACAAAACACTAAGTTCGCTGATTTCCAAGGTGTAAATACCCACAGTGAAAATTTAACAACTGTCTCAGTTTGACGGGTTTCCACTGTAGCGCCCCTATCTGTAAGTCAGGGAAAGTGGGGAGCATCAGAGAAGGCTTACCGCGTAAGATGGCATTTAAGGTTTAGGGATGGGAAGAAGATGGGGAAAGCCCGAGAAAATGCAAGGACGGAGGAAAAGCACCACGCATGTGTGGGGAGCTGTGAGTAGTCCTATTTGATTGAAGGGCAGGGTATGAGCAGAAAAAGAATATTATAAAAGACTAAAGAAAAAAAATAGTGGTGCTAGATTGTGGAGGACTTAAATACGAGGCTAGGAGTTTGAACTTTACTTGGGAGGCAGTTGGGAGCTACTGAAGATTGTTGAGAGGAGAAGTAACATGACCAAATCTATGCATATGGCAGACTAGTTTTCATACTGATGCTATCATAAATATGAAAGATAGATGTTAGTAAGGGGAGAGAGCATTAAGAAGTTAAAACTGTTAAATAATTGAAATAAATAGTTGGTAATAAGGGTTTATGGCAGAGTGTCATAGAAAGTTATTAGATCACATAAGGGAAAAAAGGGAGAGGAGAAATGAAAAAGAAAGTAGGGACTAAAAAGACCTCTGACTGCCTCAGTGGTTTATTCATTTTTTATATATTCTGTATTACTTACTGTGAAAATGCTGTCCCTCCAGAAGAATGTAAGCTTCTTGGGGGCAGGGAATATTTCACTTTTATATCCGTATGCCTAGCACCTAACCAGGTGGCCAGCACATAGTGGACATTTAATAAATGTTTGTTGCTGCTGTTGGGTGATTTAATTGGTGATACTATAGACAGAAATAATGAAGTCATAAGGAGGATCAAATATAAGGGGATAAGACCATAAGTGACTTACAAAAGGAACTGGTTTTCCTTGTAAAACCAGGGGAGCCTTGGCTGAAGTAGCCAACTCAAAAACAGCAAAATTCTGAAGTAGGACCCTGTTCCCCTTTCATAAGAACATTGAGCCTAAGAGGTTAAATGAGTTTACCAGACTCATACAACTGGTAAGAGTCTGAGGCAAATTTATGCAAACAACATAGTGTAGTAAGTAGAAAGCCTTCTAAATTTGGAACCAGAGGACCTGGGTTAGAATACCAGTCTTACTACTTACTACCCATATTTGGCAAATTTCTTAACCTTTTTAAGCAACTGTTTCATCTATGAAATGAGGGGATAGACTAGATGTTATCTAAGGCCCTTCCTACTCTAAATTCTATAATCCTACCCCGTTTGTTGGCAGAAGACTAAATATCTTATTTTTGTTTGACTCAAGTTGAAATGAAAATGGATCTTCTCTTCCTGCTCAAAGCACCGACCTCTTTGCTGGATGGCAAGGGATTCAACACTTGTAGTCATAGAGTCATAAAACATTAGGCCAGGAGGGATGGTAGGATTGTAGAGGGTGGAACTCTGTCTTCCTGTCTCTGTGGTGCTGGTGGTTGGTGAGGGGGAAGGGGCTTTCAGCGTTAAATCATAGGCAGGTGTGGGAAGGCCCCAGAGGTCATCTAGTCTAATCCTCTAATGACCTTGTGTATCATTCAACTACTCCATTTTTACAGATGAAGTGACTTGAAGAGAAGTCACAGACTCAGGATCTCAGAGTGGGAAGGAACTTTCTGAGGTCATCCAGTCTAACTTCATACCTAAAGTATGAATTCCTTTCATATCATCTCCAACAGGAAGAGCATAAGCTAAATTGCCAAATAAAAGACTTTTGCAGGTGTCTTATCTTGTACAAATATGAAGCTGCATAATGAGAGAACCTTGGCTCAAGACACCAGAGCTTCAGGTTCTAATCTTGGCTGTGAAGCCAGTTAACTGTGTGAGCCAGGCAAGTTCCTTCTCTGGCCCCCAGTCTCCTTATCTGTAAATGGAAGAGGTAGGGCTAGATTAGGGGTTCTGACCCTTTTTTGTGGCATGGACTCTTTGGGCAGTCCTGTGAAACCTACGAACCTCTTTTCAAAATCATGTTTTTTTTGTTTTGTTTTGTTTTGTTTAATTTTTGGAGTCAATCAGGATTAAGTGACTTGCCCAGGGTCGCGCAGCTAGTAAGTATCTGAGGCCAAATTTGAACTCAGGTCCTCCTGACTTCAGTGCTGGGTGATCTATCACTGTGTCACCTAGCTGTACTAGAATCATGTTTTTAAATGTATAAAATAAAATGCATAGGATGACGAAGGAAACCAATTCTACTGAAATACAGCTATCGGCTCTTGGGTTAGTGGTTGGATTGTCAGATGTGGTGTGTAGAGCTTTAACTAGCAATTATTTCCCCAGAGAAAAATGTAAAACTGGTAAAGGGTGGAGAGTAGGGTGGCCATAGCTCCATTAAGAAGGGTTAGGGGGGAGGGTGAGGGTGAAGGTGAACTGTCAGAGAGGCATCATGGCACCCTTGAAAGTCCACACTGTATATATGTGGACAACACACTCAGTTGTCACCCTAGCTGAAGCCAAAGACAACACAGAAAAAGTTTAGAAACTCAGAAATGCATAAAATATATGTATAGTATTATATAATATCAACATACTTTATTTTTTAATATCATAATAATTCAAACTTGTTCTCTGATAGGAAGGGAGGGCCAAAACATTTTACAGATCTTCCAGATGGGAGGCACTGAACCCCTAACACCTCCCCATCCCCCCATCCTCCCCATGTGGAAGGATAACTGTAGTCTCAGCTTTCAAGGAACTCACCCCCACGCTTTATTTCTGCCTTTAGGATCATAGGCTATTAGACCTTTGATTATCTAGTCCTCCTCCCTCCATGTATAAATGAGCAAAATGAGCCTCAGAAAGGCAAAAAAAATTTGACCAAAGTCACAAAGCTGTACTGATGACTGTTGCCAAATCTGCCTTGTTCTATGCAATATGCTCCTGTATACTTTTAGATGCTCAGGGCACTGTGTCTAGTACAGTGCTTCGGTGCCTGATACATAGTACGTGCTTAATAAATACTCCTCAGTGTTTGGTAATCTTTGAAGAAGAGGCTTTCCCTTCCCAAAAGGCCTCAGGGCTAACCATACTTCAAATAGCTCCCATTTCCAAATAGGTCCCTTTATTTCCAGGAGCTGAATAGGAAAGAACAGTATTCTTGGACTCTAGAGACCTATGAACTCATTCCACCCCAGCTACTAATTCCCTTCAAGGCTCATCTGTGTGAATCTAGAGCAGTTTATTCAATCTTCCTGGACCTCAGTATTCTGCAAGCTGGTTGACAAGATAATTTCTCAACATCCTTTCCAACTCTGATCATCTATGTGATTGTGTCATTGTGGGAACCTTCCTTCTCGGGCCAGTTGACAGCTTTGGGACAGGGGAGGAGTTGGATGAGGAGAAGTGTTTCTGGGTCGTCCATACTTGAAATTCTACTGTCCTGGACCTAAGCCAATTGTTGGCTTTAGGGAGGGTGGGGTCCTCTTCATGCATGCAGTTTCCTACCAGAAAGTGCATTGAGTGACATCAACATCAGGATATCTGTATCAACTAACCATGACTTCAGGTTTCTCATCATGTGTGTTCCTTAGAGGCTATTTTGGGAATGAGAGTAAGGATGCTATTTAGCACTCCATTTCCCTTCAGAATCTGTCCATGCCTTCTCCTAGTGCTTTGGTTTTAGCAGCTGAAAGGATGTCAGAACTGAAAGAAGATGCCTCTGTAGGATCTAGGACAGTGACTTGGACCCCTTCCTCTTCCTCTCCTTCCGTTCTGTTTGTAACATCAATGTATACGTAGGTAGGAGGGAGCTTCTTGGGGATGAGGACTGTTTTCTCCCCAATTTTGGTGATGTGCCCATCAAACTATATCTTTAATTCTTTCAGCTGGATTATTTTGCCACTATTTCTTGTATGTGATGACAAGGTCCACTTTTAGCACTGTAACCTATATGTATAGTTTTTTGGCCCACCTATTGAAAAAAGCTGGTGACTTGACTGGAGTGATGGCTTTATGGTAAACTTTCTAGATGTATGTTCCCCAAAAGCAGCCATTTTAGCTGGGGATGAGTTGCCTCATTCATTCTTTTTTTTTTTAAATACATTTTCATTTTTGTTAACTATTTTCCAATTATATACAAACATTTTTTAACATTCTTTTTTTTAAATTTTGAGTTCCAAATTCTCTTCCTCCCTCTGTCCCCCTTGAGAAGGTAAGCAATATGAAATCAATTAT